GCCTCCTTTATTTTTTTAATTTAAATTCTTTTTAAATAAAGTAAAAATCACAATGTTTCTCACTTGAGACCTGTGATTAGATTTTCTAAATGAAACATAAGTAAAATTCCAAAAGGAAAATGCATTTATACAAAATGAATTGAACTGGCACAGGTAGGTGACAGGCACTTGCTTAATTATTATGAAGTCTCAGTGGGTTGTGTTTAAACAGAATCTATTTTTTCAATTTATTTGATTTCTCTCACACAGATTCTAAATACAAGGTCCTGACTGACATGGAATGGAATAGTTTATGATCTGGAAAGTATAAAATAGATGCAAGATTTTCAATCAAAACTTGCCCACTTTCTTGGATGTCTTATACTAATAAAATTACTTTAGATTGAATGTACTACAGCAGCAAACGTAAGTACTGAAACTTTACAGGTAATTATGAATATCGATGCCCATGGAATAGTAGAATTTTAAAACCTTTAAGAAACACAATAAGGGGGGGTGCAAAAAAAAAAGAAACACAATACAAAGATACTAACTTAAAATTTTATTCTACTATAGTCTCTGTCAATTGTAGTATCCTAATTCTATAAGTATAGATTAAAGGAACAAATACTTCAGACTAACTTTTATTATAGCAGTGAAAGCTTTTCATCATCAATGTCTCATCATTCTAAACTACAGGCTTATTATTTAAAACATAGGCTATGTAATAAGTACTAAGATAATATCAGGAACATGGGTAGTTACATAACAAGAAGACAATTTTCATAAAATTATTATTGATAAGGTTAAAAACATAAAAATAATAAAGTATGAAGTGCTGTCATAATAGTCTACTGATAATAGATGACACTAAAATGTCAATTTCATATCATTCTCACATGTCATGAAGAAGTCTCCTTTTCATTTTTTTCCAAACAGTTAAAATGATAATTACCATTACTAGCTCCCAGGCTGTACAAATACAAGCAATGGGCCAGATTCGGCCCACAGATCCATCGTTTGCCAAAACTTCACTAAATATTATAATTTACATCCTGCAAGCCTATTCATCTGTTTTCACTGAAGAGGTAATGCAAATTAATCCAGATATATAGATTGATGCCAACGAACAAAGTATTTACATGTGATACAAAATCTGAAATTCTTTTTACAAGGCATCAATAACATGTATGAAGAGTCTGTGCTAAGAACTATATGTAAGTCAGATACTTGATCTCCCTGTGACCTTCTGAGTTGTTATATTCCAAGATGAGCATAGTCCCTATCAGAAATTACTGGGATGCAACAGGAAAAATGGGCCAAATGAATGAAAACAAAGTAGCATTATTCTCAGAAAAGCAAAGTACATGCTCATCTTTATACCCAAAGGCCAACTGTTCATGCACTAAACATCATGGCATTTGTCAGAACCTCATATTGGGGGGGGGTGTTGCAATGGAAAGGAAATTTGGGGGAAGTGGGGTAAAAAAAGGAATCTTCTCTAAGGAATTAGACTGAAACACAATCATTTCTAATCACTCTAGTTGTATATGGGCTCTTATCTATCCTAGAGCCAATATCTCCTCAAGAATATAGTCTTCAATGCATCTTCAGGGAAGACATTCTTTACTTTGAAGAAAAGGAAGAATGCACCCAGAAGTTAGCTTCTAAATAAATCATTGACAAGCCACTGCTGAGCAGTAATTACTTTCCAGACGAAGTTCAATGTATCTTAAGTAATCATTTCCACCACATGATCTGTAAGAGGCCAAATAAAAGCAAAGCTCTTACGCATCTTCCTATTTCTATCAACTCATAGTATTTATGCTCCTTTTGTATACTGTTGAATCCTTCCTCAACAGTTTATTAGTATGAAGAAAGAAACTTTAGGGTCATATGAGTAATAATAATATGGGATATCCTACTTCTTGGTGCACATCTTAAAGAGGTTGTGAAGAAGTCAACAGCCTATATGCAACTTCTCGAAAGCAGCAGCCCTTCTGTGAGCTCTCATCTGCAAACTCTTATCAACAGGACACTGCCACAGGCTCCTCTTGACCAAAACAAAAAGGAAAGACCTAGGCCTGCTCACTGTTTTTAAGATGTTAGATGGGCACTAGTAAGCAAATAATTCAGTTCATTCAACAGACTTTATTTTTGGCAAATGAGAAGTGGGCAGGACCACCAAAAATGAGCAAACACATGAGTCTAGCAGCTTAGACATATTTATACCCACCCACACAGATAATACATATACATGTTTGGATGGATGGATGGAAGGATGGAGAAATAGAGAGAGATGGAAGGAACTAATCCTTATAAGTAGATAATCCAAGAGAGATAAAATTAATCCTTTTAAATAGACAGATAATCTAAGATAGAGAAAATTTATCCTTCTCGGTAGATAATCCTTCTAAAAGGATTATTTATCTTAGATAAAATTTCTCTGTTGACTAATTAGTCAGCTGATAGTCAAGTTCAAAAGCACCTGCTCACTGGGCTGCCCTGGGTTTGCAGGATCCTGTCCTACAAAATCTTGCACGTTGGTTTACTTTGTGGGTGAACATACTTGCTCCTTGTGAATCACCTGTAATTAAAGATAGATCTTTGTACATACAAGAGAAAGGGAGAGAAGGCTTTATCTAGTCACTGCTAAATGATTTTAACAGTGACGTTCAAGACGGGTTGTTTTCAGCTCTTGTGACTGCAATGTCCAGGGGAGTTAGTGGAGTTATGACAATACATTAGGAGCTATGCGCTGCTTGTTTCTTCATGCACTAAAAGCCAACTTCGATAGCAAACATAAATATTTGCTCTTCTTATAAGAATCAAACATATAGAGTGCTCTGTAGTATGACTTGATAATAACAGATGTCACAATTCTGGGGTTCCTTTCCTCCCAAAGAGAAAAATACTCCCCAAGCAAGGTAGAATAAAATATAAATTGAGGGGGGAAAAAAACCCAACATTTTTTCCCTGTTCTATCTAACTAAACAATCATAATGTCATGGTGTTACTAACAAGAAATTACTCTATGCAACATAAATGATTCAAAGCCATTTGTTATTTTTTAAAATATACTTGAGGATTAGTCAACTCTTAACACATATGTAAACAAGAATTCCAACTCTGATATCTAAGCAGTCCTACTAGTTTCAAATGTTACAGGCCCTTTATTTAGAAGAGCATTGACTTAACTTTCTGGAAAAACTAAAAATGCACAGGGTTAAATATACAGAGGGGGGAAAAACCCACTGACATTTTTTAATGTCAGCCAGAGGCCCAACCAGATCTAAGCAGACGGGAACAGCACGCTTTCCCTTTAGTTTCTCCCTGAAGCTTTGCTAAAGAGACTCAGGACCAAAGAGAGGGGCATATTGTCTACCTCCACTGTTTGCCTATTGCAGGATTTCAAGAAAACCCAAATGAACATAAACAAGTATTAGACCAACTAATCATGCTGATGTGTTGTAAACCCAGTTATAGCGGGCGGCAGGATTGCATCTGAGCCAGCCTTCGCTCTGCTATTCTTACAGAAGCTTTGCTTCACATTGTAAGGGTGACCTCTAGTGCTTTTCTGTTTCCCTGAACTTCAGGAGTTGGATGATAAACGACTTTACTATGTCTTTTCTACAAAACTTGGCATGTGTGTCTGTGCTGAGTGTGAGTGAGTGTAAGACCGAGAGAGATGGGTGTTGAGGATGATAGTGGTCCCTGGCCACAACGTTTGTTAAATGCTACCATAACAGGACTCTGTCATTTCCACCAGCAGAAAAGATGCAAATCTTGTTGACGCATGGGATGTTCACACACCAGAATGAAAACTGAACCTGAAACACGGGGCAGCACCTGGGGTGAAGTTCTCAACCCCTGACTGCATCCCAGCTGTGTGGGTGGGTACTAAGGAGTAGCGTACTGCTCTCCTCACACCTGAGCCTTTGAGTGGTGAAGGGATGTGCAGATACTGGGATGCAGGCTCATTTGTGCCCCTCAATAGAAAACCTGGTTGCACAGCAATGACACCAATTCTGAAAGAGGCCTGCCAGCTCTTTTCCTGAAAAACAGAAGTTTTTCTTTTTAAAACCCAAGAGACCAAAAGCTGCTTGTGCAGAGCTGGGTAATCATTCACCAAGGAGGGGCATTTCCCCCCTTTTAGAGATTTTAGTCCAAATGAAACTTTCCAAACTTTTTTCCTCTCTCACGCACAGAGACTAGGTGAAAAGCATCCTGCCGGGTCATTTTGGAGGATCCTTACATTAGAAAGAAGGTTTCAATCAGTATTTCCTGAATCGGGCAGGCTCCCGAGTCAGCCCATTCCATGACCATGTCACCGAGCTGAGAATTCAGCTAGGAAGGAAAACTACTTTTGCAAGATCTCTGGCATATTTTAATTTTCTAGCAAAATATAGGCTCAAGCTCTCACTTCGAGGATCACTTAAGTATTCTCTCAACAGCGAGGGCAGAGCTCTTAACACCGACTTTGCCTTCGCGAGCCCTGCTCCTGAATTCTGCAGTACATTTCAGGACTAATCTGGCATCTTCATCTTAAAGATGCAGCTACTATACTGCCGAATTGCAAACTTCAGAAATCCGAGGTAATATACCACCCTATCAAGTCTGCGTGCTGCATTTCTACTAGACAGCATTCCCATAAAATTCAGTGGTCTTAAGAAAGGAAGAAATGAAGACATTTGCAGGCTATTCCCTGGTTAAGATGCTAATTCAATGTTTTACTAGAACTTGTGATTCCTCTATGAATATTCACAGGCAAGAAGAAGGGATTTTGCTCCTAGGCAAAAAGGCCAATGATCATTTTGCCTTCTTTCAGAGCAGTCCCCGAGGGGTGCCGAGTGCCAAGCCAGTCCTGTTTTTCTGGATTGTCAGAGGACGCTGGCTTGTCAGCAGTGTGCTTTGCAGCAAGTCCAGTTGCAAATCATCCTTGTAAAAAACACACACACAACAGAATCAAAGTTTTGCAGCGAGCCCCCCTGCGAGTTTGAAATCATTTGCTGTTTACTTACAGGAATTCCCAGCCAGGACTCTGTTCCAATTGTGAGTGGAGAGCAGAAGTAGCGTCTTGAGGACCGCTCCAGTGACAGAGCCCATGTTCACATTCCTTGGGCTCCAAAAAGACTCCGAGAGGCTCTGTGTTGTGGGGCTCTGTGCTGTGGTCCTGCTCTCAGGCTCTCTCCCGGCGCGGCTGTCTGGCTCTTCCACACCTGTCTCTCTGTCACTATGTCTCTCCCTCGCTCTCTCTCCCCCGTCCTCCTCCTCCTCCTCCTCCTCTCTCTCATACACACACTCCTCTCTCATGCGCGCGCGCACACAGGAGCGCGCGCACACACACATACACACACACAGTGCCCTGACTCTTCACTGAACAGCATCCAGCATCTTTTCTAACAAGCATCCACACCACCGAGGCCACGCCCACCCCTCGCAGCAGAGGTCCCTGAAATTGACAGCAGCATCCCCCTCCAGATACTGGCGGTGCTCAGAGCTCCTGCCGGTGATGAAAGCTAGACCTGGGGGCATGGCGCGAGCCTCCTGGCCTCCTCAGGGCTCCCTCCCCTCTCCTCCAGCCTCCAATCATCCTTAACCCCTCTCTCCCCACTAGAGGTGTGGGTGGGGGAAGGGGCAAGGCAGCAGAGCAGACAGTCAGTGTATCGGGCTAATCTCTGCATAACCAGGGGGTGCATTCAGGTAAAATTGCATTATGTTTCAAAACAAAAGCATAAAAATACGACAGAAATAACTAAGCACCGTTGGTAAACTGTAGCTAAAACTGTCCTGAGGGAGAATACTCGCTGTAGTGGTTTTTCTCTGTTTATATAAAACCATCTTTTTCAGCTATAGTGCCAGCATTTTATTATGAAAATGTCTAACATGGGAACAGGCATTCCACTTTGGCAGATATTTAAAACCATTTGATAATCGTCGGCAAGAAATTAACATCTCTTATTTTAGAGCATCAGGAGTACAACTCAGCAAATTAAATGCACTGGCTAGGCTTCTTTTGATGAATGCATCATATTGTGAATGCACAGTCGCATTCAACAATCAAATTGTTTAATAGCAATTCCTAAAAGACTCAAGATGGAAAAACTGTAATTTTGAGCAAAACTTTCCCTACACACACCCCCCCACCCCAACACACACATTCATTCATTCATTCTCTCTCTCTCTTTCCCTCACCCCAACTCAAATAATACAAAATGCACTTCAAATGGTCTAGTAAAGAGAATCACCCTCATCTGTCAGTTTTCCCTACTGTGGGGGCTCTACATATTTCTATGTTGCTAGAAGCTATGCCATGAGTACTTCAAATACCAACAGACACATCCATACTGGACAGGTTTCAGCAGAGCTGCCAGACTTAGCGAGATTACAAAGGACCTGGCAAGCAACTTCTTTAAACATTACCAGTGAAAGAGCAGTGGACTATCAGTGGACACAGTGCAGGACACGAGCTTCTCAGGTTGGAAGACACCCAAAGTATGGCTGAGGAAGACTGCCCCAGAGTAAACTCGACCTAAATTTTATGAAGGAAAGCTTTGGGGTCCCATATTTGCAGATGGGGCACCATTCAAAACAAGAAGACACAGCTGTAAAGAACCATTAATTATTAGAATGTGGAATGTACAAAGTATGAATCTAGAAAAATTGGAAGCTCTCAATAATGAACTGGAAAGATTAATATCATAGGTATTACTGAGCTAAAATGAGCTGATATTGGCCTTTTTTAACCATTCAATCATGAGGTTTCCTTTGCCAGGAAAAAGAAATTTAAGAGAAATGACATTGGATTCATCATCAAAGAAAACAATTCCAGATTTACCTTGAAGTACAATGCTGTTAGGGATAGGATAATAAGCATATGCATACAAGAGAGATATTTTAGTATAACTGCTATTCAAACTTGCTCACCAGTCACTATAAAAAAGCCTAAAGAGATTGTGGATTTTTACCAACTTCTAAGTCTGAAATTGATCAAATAAGTAGTCAAGGTACATTGATAATTATTGATGATTGGAATGTAAAAATTGGAAACAAAGTGGTTGGAAAATATGGCCTTTGTGATAGAAATGATATCGGAGAGCATATACAGAATTTTTCAAGACCAATGGCTTATTCATTGTAAGTCTTTTTTCAACAACATAAAAAGCAACTATACATATGGATCTTTCTGGATGAGATGTACAAGAATCAGCTTGACTGTATCTATAGAAAGAAATGAGCTTAATGGATATGCTCTTTATCATCAGTCAAATATGGAAAAGACTACAAGTTAGTCATTCAAATGATGCAAGTTAAAGCTGGAAAAAATGAAAATAAGCCCATGAGAGCCAAAGGACAACCTTGAGCTTCCCCCACCTGAACTTAAAGACCATCTCAAGGATACACTGGATGCATTCCTTGAACATCAATGGGCCAGATGACTGGTAGCATCAAGTGCCTCAAACATTAATGGGCCAGATGACTGAGGCATCAAGTGCCCCAAACATGAAGAAAGCAAAAGGTCTTAAGAAAGACAGGAACAGAAGAAAAGACCAAAGTAGGTATCAGAAGAGACTTTGAAGCCTGTTCCTGAACACAGGGTAGTGAAAGCAAATGGAAGAAATAATAAAGCAAAAGAGCTAAAATTTCAAACGGTAGCATGAGATTACAGTATTATAATGAGAAGTGAAAAGACATGGAGATAAAGCCAACTAAAACAAGTGAAGGAAAGCTTAAGGCTGGAGTTGCAAAATATTGAATTCTATGTGCAAAATCTTAAATGATGCACGACGTATTAAAGGAACATGAATGGAATATACAGAATTACTTTACTAAAAAGGACTCGTGTTCAATCATTTACAGGCGGTCGTGTAAGACCAACAGTCTGTGATGTTGAAGAAGAAATTCAGGCTGCACTGAAAGTGCTGAAGTTATCAGATATTGACAGAACAGCAACAGAGAAGTTTCAACAGTCAGGCGCAATGCTGGAAGCAGTCACTCACACATGTTCAGAAATTTGAGAGACGTCTCTCTGGTTAACCTACTGGAAATGATCATACTGCCAACTCAAAGGCAGGTGGTTCAAATCCAACGGCTGCTTCCCAGGAAAAAAAATGGGCCTTCTCTTCCTACACTGTTAACTACCTCTGAAAACCCTCTGGTTGGTCAGCCAAAAGTTGGTTCTGACTCAATGACACATAACCACCCCCACCAAAAAAGATGAGTGAAGAGAATGCAGAAATTATAGAATAGTATCACATCTAAATAAAATTTTGCTGAAGGTAATTAATAATGGTTACAGCAGTACACTTTTAAGAAAGTGCCAGAAATTAAAAATTAATTCAGAAAATGATGTGAAATGAGGGAAATAATTGCTGATATTGTACAGATCTTGGGTAAAAGCAGAGAATACCAGGAAGATGTTTACCTGTACTTTATTGACTATGCACAGGTATTTAACTCTGTGACACATAAAAAAGCATGGATGACATTACAGAAAATGGCAATTCCAGAATGTTTACTATTGTTCATGAGGAATGAGCAGTCATTCAAACAGAACAAGGGGTACTGCAATGCTTGGCGTTGGGAAAAATGTGTGTCAGGTTCTATCCTACCACCATACGTATTCAATCTGTGTTCTGAGCAGATAATTTAAGAGGCTAGATTATATGAATCAATGGCCGCAGGATTGAAGGAAGACACATTTGAAACCTCCAGTATGCAGACGACACAGCCTTGCTTGCTAAAAGTGAAGAAAGCTGAAAGCACTGACTGATGAAGTTCAAGGCAACCTACAGATTCCATTACTTATTACCTCTCAACACAAAACAGGAAGACTCACAAATATAACATTATGGCAAACAAAACACTGAAGTTGTCAAAAATTTCATTTTGTTTGGACGTACAACCAATGAAAGTCCATGGAAGCAGCAATCAAGACATCAAAGAACGTGTTCTACTGGGAAAATCTGTTGCAAAAGATCTACATAAAGTGTTAAAAAAAACAAAACTGTCACTTTGAGGAGTATGCGTTCCTGACCCAATCCATAACATTTTCAAGCGTTCACATATATGTGAAAGTTAGACAATGATAAGGTAGACCAAAGACGACTAGATCCCTTTAAATTGTGGTGTTAGTGACAGATACTGAATACGCCCTGGATTGCTAAAGAACAAGCAAGCTTGTGTTAGAGTAAGTGCAGTCATACTGCTCCTTAGCCGTGATAATCGTGTGACTTTGGTTCCGGTATTTTGGGCAGGATCTCCAGAGCCTAGAGAAAGACATCATGCATTGTAGAGTCAGTGAGCGAGATGGATTGAGCCGGTGGCCGCAGTCATGGGCTCACACACAGCAGTCTTGGTGTGGATGGCACCACACGACCGGTGTTGGTTCTGCTGTACTTAGGGCAACTGGGAGTCGCAGCCTTCTTGACGGCCCCTGGCAGCAACATCTGCATAAAAGCTCAACAGTGAATAAGGAAGTCCAAGTTCTCATTGTTACTTTTAAATTACGGTGTGGGCAAAGAATATTGAATATACTATTGACTGCCAGGAGAACAAACCTATCAGTCTTGGAAGAAGTAGAGGGCTTCTGTGAAGCAAGGATGGAGAGGCTTCCTCCCCCTGCTTTGGGCACGTGGGCAGAAAGGGCTAAATCATCATGTTCAGTAAAGTAAAATATTGGCAAAAAAGAGAAAGACCCCCACCCCCATTACCCCAGTCACTGAATCAATCCATCTCATTGAGGATCTTCCTCTCTTACACTGTCCCTCCACCCTCCCAAGCATGATGTCCCTCTCCAAGGACTGGTTCCTCCTTGCAACATGTTCAGAGTATGTCAGACGAAGCTTCAGGATCTTTGCATCCAAGGAGCAGCCTGGCTCCATCCTCTCCAGGACGAGTCATTCTTTTTAGTTAGACTAAACATAAGGGCATAGCAAGAAACGTTTCTTTTTGGCATCACTGAGTCATTGCTGACTCTGGGAGATAACAGGGAGCTCTGGTAGCCTACCGCAAAGATTGTGAGGATGGGGCTGCATTGTGCGGTGACTCCTTGGCTTGTGCATGAGGCCGCTATGTGTCAGCACAGACTCCACGATGCCCAAGACAACAGCAGCACAACAGCA